CGTGAGATGCATGCCGGTTAGAAAAGTGTCCGAGTTATGTCCGACTTGCTCTGATGTCATGCTGACGTGTGCCAAAAAACTCTCGTGACGGCGAGGCGGCTGTGTCGGACTGTGCAGTCGAGCGCAAGTTGCTCTCCACCGACTGCTGATCAAAAGCATGATGGGAAACGACTGACTGACGACACAGCTTAATGCTCATTGGTTCAGACAATTGTGATGCTGGGTTCTCTTCTAAAATATTTAATTTTTTATCTGATTTCATGTGATTATGTATTTAAATTATGCATGAACACTATGTCCACATAATAATTCAAACACTATGACAGCGCGATCTCTGTGAGAGACAATGTGATTGTCATATTTCTATAAAAATCTAAAATACATGTTTGTATTTAAAGCCTTTGATACCGTCGAGCATCCTTTTATTTTTTATTGGTTAGAACGTTTTGGGTTTGGGCGCTATTTCAGCAATGCCATGAAAACTCTTTATGTGGGTGCACGGCAATAGTTCAGTTAAATTAAGTCAAGGCACCACACAAAGCTTTTATCTGAAAAGAGGTGTGAGGCAAGGTTGCCCAGTTTCAGTTTAACTTTTTCTTATAGTTGCTCAGGTGTTTAGTCATTTTATTAAATCAAGTGAGTTAGAAGGAATTCAAGTTGAAGGGAGAAGTGTCCTGATAAGTCAGTTGGCTACGGTGACGCATTGCTGCCACACACATATTATTTTTTCTACTCAATTATGTCGTAATAACGAAATGTTATGTCGTTAAAACGACATCTTTTCTCGTAATAACGAGATGTTTTCTCGTTAAAACGACATATTTTCTCGTAATAACAAGATGTTTTCTCGTTAAAACGACATCTTTTCTCGTAATAACGACATCTTTTCTCGTTAAAACGACATCTTTTCTCGTAATAACGAGATGTTTTCTCGTTAAAACGACATCTTTTCTCGTTAAAACGACATCTTTTTCTCCTTAAAACAAGGTATTTTGTACGTGACGTGACAACGTCAGCCTATTTCAGCCATTTAGAACTGAGCTGCTTGGGGTTGCCAACACGGCAGCCTATTACGGCAACCTGTTAAAGTCAACAGTTATCAAAGTCAACTGTAATAACGTCAACATGGAATTTTGGAGTTTTCTTCAAAATCGTGGGGTTTCAGAGGAAGATATTCAAAAAATGCAGCTGGACAAGGTAAGTTACGTAAGTTACTTAATGCAAACTATAAAAAGTTTTGGGCCAGGGGTGTAAAACTAAGTTCCCGGGGAGCCACGGGAGCCACAGCCTTAGATTAAACCCTAATTAAACGCGCATGATCCATCTAATCACGTCCTCCAGGCTTATTTGAAAACTACATGGTATGTGTATTGGAGCAGGGTTGGAACAAAACTCTGCAGGCCTGCAGTCCTCCGTGAACATTAACTGAAAATAGGATTAAAAAAAAAACTACAATATGTTCGTTGCACGCAATGTGTATGCTACTTTTAATAAATGTGTTTGACTGTCATTCATATCTGGTGTAACTGGTTCTATATGGGATTTACAATACATTTATATAATAAAATAAATGTATATTATAAATAAATAAATAGTGATAAAAATTAAAGGTTTTTAAATGGTATTAATCCGTAAATTCAAATTTGATTTTTTTTTTTTTTATGAAAAAAAAAGCCTTAATCTGTCTTAATGATTGATTGATTCAGTCATTCATTAAAAAGATTCGTTCAAATGGTACTACAGAACAAGCCAAATGACTGTCTTTTATGAATAGATTACGAAATTTAAATACCATGGATTTATTCAGTAACAAGGCACTGTTGTGGGTTGCTCATACACCTTCTGCTGTGGCTTTGATTGGAACTATTTTCATTTGCAAAATAGAGTAAAAACATAACATAATGTAATAACAGGAAATAAATGAAGGAATAAATTCCTTGATAAAATAAATGTAGTTTATTTTTAATAATATTTAATCCGGATTTTATTCTTCGTATTACTCCCCC